GATGGAAGCAGTCTGTTTGCAGTGGTGTCCAGCAACAGGACTAGGGGCAACGGGTGCAAACTGGAACATAAGAGGTTTCAGTTGAATATGAGGAAAAACTTCTTTACTCTAAGGGTGACAGAGCACTGGAACAGGCTGCCCAGGGAGGTTGTGGAGTCTCCTTCTCTGGAGATATTCAAAGCCCGCCTGGACGAAGTCCTGTGTAGAATGCTCTAGGAGAGCCTGCTTTAGCAGGGGGGTTGGACTAGATGATCTCCCGAGGTCCTTTCCAACCCTTGCGATTCTGTGATTCTGTGATTCTGTAACACAGTGTTTCTAGCAGTTTACCTTAACAAAAAGTCACCGTTATTTTTACCTGTAGCAATCCACATTACAAAAGTTCCGATACGTGATTTATAATGGCCTTCCTCTTTAAACCTATCAGCCCTAGAAAGATGATCTGGTGCCACAGAATAATTCAGCTGTCACCGTAACGTGTGAATATTTGCTTTGGGGGTGTGCAGGAGTCTGGGTGTGGGTGTATATGTTCATGCTCTTCCTTGTTCCTTTTAAACAAGATATATTTATTATTTCAATACAATAGTCAAAGAAATATGTGAACTGCATTAAGTTTCATGATATAATATGAAAGCTACACAATAGGATAGGTACATACTTCACTTAAAGCTTTTAGAAAAACAGTGCATGGTAACGAAATGAGCGTACCATTGCCTTACGCTGTATAATGTAACATGCACATGCTTCTCCCAATAGGCTTGAGTTTACATGCTTTAGTGTGGAATGTTCTTTAACATGTTATTAATGAGAACTTGAGATCATGGTAATGAAGTCACTGGCGTTTTCCTGATTTACAGAAAAGTGTGAAATTCTAACACTTTTTTTTTAAAGATATATTAAACTTTGACATGTCTGTGATTTAACTATCTTAGTGATTTAAGAACTTCAGTCCCTTGGCTTTTTTCATTAGGGCAAGTAGACACTTTTATTTATATTTTAGGTGTAAACTAGGTTCCCAGTAGAGTCCTGATAGCATTATTTTACAATTTTATTTGTATGATAATATACTATTATTTGGATTTTGTGAACATTTGCATTTAAATTAAATTGAAAGAACATTCACCTAAACAAAAAAAACCTCTTTTGAACAGCTACACTGTGATTATTGGAGTGTTCTGAGGATCACCAAGGAAGGGATGCTGTAATGACAGTAAGTAATTGCATAAAATTTGCTAACTAAAACACCCTAGACTTTGTTATAAAGTTTGCAATAGAGAAAAAAATAAACATTTATGAAGTGAAAGGATATATCAGTCTCTTGCAACTTTACAGGAACTGGTTTGCTCAAAACATAATACTGGTGTATTTACACTCAAACCCAGAGGTTCTATTAAGAAAGATTAATTGTATCTTCACAGCTGTGAGGCAGAAAGATCCAGAATATCTGCTCAGTTTACTACTGCCGGAGCAGTCGTAGCCCATAATTTTTTCATAAGAGAGAGATCTTCTCACACATTCCTTTCCCCCACTTTTAGTCTCTCTCCTTCCAGGACCCTAACCCTTTACTCCTGTACTGTATCAGCTCTCTTTCAGTGGCTTTGCTGCCCATGGTTAAAAAATGTCTAGGCTGGAGACTGGGAGCAGCCAAACATCTCTTTCACATGCATTGAGAATTGAACAGAAATTCACCAAATGTTTTAAAATTTATTCTGAAAGAGAATGCTTCCCTGGATGAGTTACAGAGTAGGTACCAGCTAGTCTATGACATTTGGAAATCAGTGGCAGTATTTTGCCAGAGGGTACCTGAGGAGCTTGGCCCAAACAGCTTATGTAAATGGAGAGATGATAAATCTCTTCACTGGGCATCTCCCAAAAGTGTTCAGTTTATGCAGATGGGTGCTACAAGGCATGCAAGTATTAACTCAGTCAAAACTTAATAGTAGAATATGCAAAAATCATGCCTCACCAGGGATTCAGCCAACCTTTTCATGCCATGTGATTAGTCCTTCTACCATGGTACAGCTGATTTCTCAAAAGATTTTGAAAAAGCTGATTTGACAACTGCTAGTCTTATTCACGGAGAAAAGAAAGAAGGAACTGCGTGACTGCCTTCCTTCACTTTAGCCTGGAACATTTTCTACATTAAAATTAATTGAAGCTGGTGCTTTCCTGGGAACACTTGATTTTGATGAATCACTGTTTTCCAGTTTAATCTTTTTCCCCTTTCAGCAGTATCCAGAACTGCGGACAAAGTGAAACAAAATTTGAATAATAAAATGCTGAAGTGAAACAGGAATTTAAATTATCGGTGTGCTTTATTATACAACTATTTCCCGGTTCATGCTTATAAATGTGAAGACCTATAATACAAATAATTTCATCCAAGACTCTGAAATCTACCAGCTACATTTTTAACATAAAATACAGCAGCTGGACCCCAGCTAGGGCATGGGGCTGTGGTGTTTTATGCTAACCTTTGGTGCTCACTTGAAATCTGGAGCCTGCTGGGACAAATGCACTGGGTACAAGGGGCTCAGGTTCATAGTTCTGGATTACAGTTCCTCACAGTGCTGGGCTGCTGTGGAGGGATGAAGGTGCACTTCAGGCACAGAATGTTTAAAATGGAGATGCTGACACCGCTGACAATACTGTATGCATCTCTAAGCATATCTGAAGGTATTGTCTACTGAGGCTTGTCTCTCTTTTTCCATTTCTGTTAAGGTCGTGGGACAGTCATTTGCATCAACCCAAAATATGAACTTTGAAGTGCATTATGCCTCATAAAGCAGAAAAAGAAGAATGGAGCAAATCTCATACCTCTGTGAAGGCGTTCCGATTTGTCTGTAAGGTAACCTTTACTACTTCAAAAGGGTTAACCACAACTGCCTCTGTCAACCCAGATCCCAAGCCAGCAACGGCAAATGCCTAGGAAAGTTAAAATTAAAGTTAAAAATTAAGGAGTACAATTTCCCATACATCAGACTGTGAAACTAAATGATACAATGAAAACTGCAGGATTACAGTAATGCAGCAGTATTCTATTACTAAACAACTTTAGCCCTCGATTAGGTGCCGACAGTTCACGAAGACAATATGACAATAGACATAAGCCACATTCCAAAAAATAAAAAATAAAATGTCATAGCACTGTCAATGAATTCTCTTTTCAGCTGGAAGAAAAATTGTGGTACCAATTTATTATGAAAACATGGAAAAACAATGCTCTCATGTTATCTTTGGGTGGAGTCTGAATAAAACCACAAATATTAAATGCAGTTAGGCACCACTGGAAAAAATAAAAACTCTGCACTGAGCATTAAGCATATAACACTAACATATTAACTTAAAAAAAATAAAAGAAATGCAAGGAATTCAAATAGGGCAGTACTTGAGCAAATTGCACCAGTAGAAGAAAAGTCCTCCTAAGAAAATATCCATCCTGAAAAGGTTTATAGGGGAATGAGTGGCACACGTGGAAATGTCAGCATCCTCTGTGAGGATGAACCAACTCCATTTACTCAGAAGCTGATGGTACATTACAGCCATAGAAATGGAGATATTCGCTGCTTTGCTTTCCATCATGACACAGCATTTTAAAATACCATAATTTGTTTGTAACACAAAAAGAATATTGAAATATTTAGGCCAATTGAGAAAATTCAGAGGGGTTAATTTTTGTGACCATTTTACACATTTATTGCCTCTGTTTAACATCTCCAAACTTTCTAGGGGCTGAAAAGAGTCACAGGACCAAAACATATAAACACTGAGTACATTTGCTGAAATTCAAGGAAACCAATGGTCAGAAAAGTAACTTACTCAATACAGAGGGATTTTAGCAGCGACTCTTGAGAGCTCAAGAAAGAGAAGAATAGTAAGTTAGGAGGGTAGTGGCAAGCTCCATCCTTACTGCCTTTGAAGAATGCTGTGCCACCAACAAATCTATTTTTCCAGTATGAGATGGAAACATAACCTATCCCTTTCGCCATCAACCACAAGACTCAGGCCATCAGGAAGATGTTGTTAAGGTATGCATTTCTGTTTTAACAGTAAACGTTGTCTTGATATGAGGTCTGTTGAGGCACCTAGAAGTATTCTGCCTAGCTTAGACCCTCTCAGTCATCTTTTTCCATCACTACCATGGCTATCTTAGGGGCAAAAATGCCTCTATGGTAACAGAATTGCACTAAAAATGTCAGAGGTGTCTGGTGGTTGCTGCCTCTGGTATATGAATCAGAGCAGATTTTGGTCAGCTGTTGCATGTTACAACTTCACAGCCTGTTGTCCTCCAAAAAAAGTCATGGTGTACTATGGAACCTTGAACTCTGTTCTTTCCACTCGTTAGAGAATAAATATCAGCCTCTCTATTTACATCTAAGGAAGAAAAGAGCCTACTGAAAAAACCCCAAGACAAAATAGGAGATACTGTAAACAGCTATAGGGTCAGTGGAATAATAAAGAGGAAAAGGAAACTTGCTTTAAACTGGTTAATATGCTTCCATGACCATTCAGTTGCTGCAATGGAAGGCAAATGGAAATGGCAGTAATACTGTTTGAAAGATGCCTGAAATAATGATAAAGCAAATGTCTCCTTTTTTTCTGATGTCATTTTGGTTTATATGGCTTGGAGAGTTATTTGTTGTTACAAGAAAAGACTTTACATATTTCCTTCAGTCATCACAAACTTCTCTCTTGAGAGCCAAAACTATAAACCAAATTCCAATTCAAAACCAATTCATTTGACCATGAAAGCTATAATACAGGTGTTCAGGATTTTATTGTTTGTTATTTAACAAACAAAGAGGGTATTTACTCTCTTCCAGATAATTCACATTTTCAGTCTTGCTTAAGGCTCTGATACATTGATAATTATAAGCAAAATGCAGGAGTCTCTACAGAGAAAAAAAAATGTATAACGAATGCAAAATAAGTAAACTGGAAGGAAGCCAGAGATTAAAGTAAAAATATTGAATGAGAACTTACTGAAAATTTTCAAGAGAAAAACAACTTGCTAGTTAAAAATGACCTTTAAACAAAGCCTTATGATTTGGGGGAAAGCTGGCCAGCATCTCCCATAGAAGTCATGTGCACTCTTTTTTTTTTTTTTTTTCTGAAAATATTATCACGATCAGTATTAGGCAACATTCATTACCAAAACCTTTATAGCGTAACCATAAAGATATCAATTGTTTCCTACAGTGATGCCATTACTGTGCAAACATGTATTCGCTTTTACTTACATTCTTACACTACAGAAAGCAGTAATTCTTATAAAAAGTTATTTATTCCAAATGGTACGATAGCAGAATTGAGCCCTATATATGAGAATGCAGACAACACATGTAAGCTCCATTTTGGCATTAAAACATTTTCGTGTGTGTGTATGTCCTGTATTTTGTTTTTAAAAGTTATGTTCTTGAGACGAAATCCTAACTCCACTCTTGTATAGGGGAGTTTTGCCATTGACTTCAAAGGAGGTATCAGCTTCCTAGCAACAGTTTATGTTTCTGTTATGAAGTCTTTAGAATAAGACTGAGGTCTATACCTTTGCTATAGTTGCACCGTGTCTTGCAAGATAGCACTTTGATACCTGATGAGATCTCTAGTCACCATCACATGAATAAATAAAAATCAATAATGTTCAACTGTTTTTTGTTATTTTGCAAGAATGAAGAATGAGAAGCTGCATACAGACTCTCCATGGTGACTGTTGCTATCCATGTTAACAAATGTTTTGATGGCGTAGGGAATTATTTTGAAGGCGTTTGATATAAAAATTAACATAATTTTGATAAATTCTGTTACAATGTTTTCAAGGGACAAGTCTATTCTGAAAAACTATTGGTTGAGCTGGCCTCTTTAATTTTGGGCTCTTTCTATGGGAGAAAATGGATGGGACTGTTTAGTATACACATATTAGAACATGAAGCTGTATCCATACATACCAGTCCTGGAGGTAATGATGCATATCCTAGTAGCTTCTTGTATTGTTCAAAGGTGAAAAACTGCAAATAAAAGTTAGACTGAAACTGCATTGAAAAAAATTAAGAGTTACTTATGCAAGTGTGTAAACCCAAACTACAGTGGAGCTTCACTACCTCGTGTCCTGAGTAGCCGTGTGCAGTTCTGCAAAATAAACATAGGCCACTTTTGTTTCACGCTCTCTGCAGCAGTGTTAGATGTGCAACAGTAGACAATTAGGCTTCAGAGCTGACTTTATTAGTGTATCATACATAATAGCAGCATAAATGCAATTAAAGTAATGTTTTATGTAAGAGTTTGCTTACAACACATAGTTCGTCTTTTTAATTTATACACTCTTCTTCTAGCATCTAACTAGATTTTTATAATCTTTTTCTGTCAACAGACACATTTCTTTTAGTTTTTGCTCTCTACAAATAAATCTTCCACCCAATTGTCTGCTTTCAGTCAGTGGCGCTCAGAAGTTCTGAGCATCTGTGATTCCTTAGAGGATGAGTTTTGAAAGCTGTACTTTTTTGTGTTTGAACTTCAAGAAAGAAATGAGCAGCTCAGTTTCACCTGAATCAACACGGAGAAAGGCAACCATCTGTAAATGGTTCACTTTGCAACTTAACGCTTCTTGCCACCTGAATCCATTAATTTTCAGAATAATTTTTGTGAAATCTTCTAAAAATCAAATTTGAATAAATTAACAGCTTTGTTCTTCCAAGAACAGTGTTGAGAATAACCCTGACTGCACTGAAATCAGTAAGAAGCTTCCCATTGACATATGCAGACTTTCACTGCCTATTTCCTTGTCTGTGGACACAATGTCTAAGATGCATCAGCCAAGGTGTAGTCTAAAGAAAGGGTACTTGTGACAAATTATTGGGAAGATGCCCTCTGAAATACAGCACACAATCCACCCTTGTGTAAAAAAGATAAACTCGGACTACAGCATATTCAAAACAGGGTTACCAGGACTACTAAGGAGAACTTAAAATTTTTTTTAAGAATGAAGACTGAAGGAGAATAAATGCTTGCCTTGTTTAGTCTAGCAAAAGAGAGGCTGCAAGAGAATGAAAAACAAGGAAAAGAAAGATATGTAACATGAAGTAATTGGGTATAAAAGTAAAAAAAGTACTCATAAATAGAATGTGGCTTGAAATCTGATGAAGCTTTCTTACAACCCAAGGAGTGGGGTCCCAAAACAGTCTTCCAATAAGAATAACAGGGGAAAAAATCTTAATCACTTGTAAGGGAGAGTTTGACAAGTTTATGAAGGAGATTATAGGACAGCAGGGGACTAGAACTGCTGACCTAAGAGATCCTTTCTAGCCCAGTGTTTCTGTGTACAGCAAATCTCCCCCAAACCCATATTGTTTCAAATTCATATTCTGCAAATATGTTGCTGAAGCCACTGAAAAAGCACTTCGGGTTGATGCCACATAAGGCAGTTCTGAGGGCAGTGAAAACCATCTTCTAGCACGAGGAATGAAGATAGCAGAAAATCTTGCAAGTTATTAAGAGTAGATATCTGAATTCCAGGTAAAACCAAAGATACTGGATGCGTTATTCCATGCAGTTTTCACACATGGAACAGCACGAGGCCTGTAACTACAGCTCACTATTTCTGAGTCCTGTAATCTGTCCAAGAAGTGTTCATGACTTTGCGTGCAAAAGAAAAATGGCTTTTACACGGCATGTCCAGTATTATGGGACTGAACAACAAAAACCTGCCACAGCTTCACCGAGACTGCATCAGCACAGGTGGGTATCTGCGAGAGCAAGAGCTGTCACATCCCTGTATAGCAAAAGCGAATAACTGGAACCTCTGACTTCCCTGGCTACTTTCCAAAGCTGACCTGTAACACTTGATTAGTTTAGAGCAGGCTGGTTCAAACAAAGGTGGGATCCTCTGAAGGTCTGTGCATTTCGCTCCTGCACGTGAGGCTGTGATCCCTCACACAGCACCTGCCTGTGCGTGTGACAATCAAACTGTTTCACCACGAGAGGAAGGCAATGGGAAATGAGGTCAATGTAGATGTGGGAATCGTAAGAAACATAAGGGAATAGAGTTTTTCAGACAAAACAGAAAGACTGGGTGACCTGTGCTGGGCCTCAGCCAAAGAAGACAAGCTCAGTCCCTCAGGGTTCGGTTACCACAGACCTATCAGAACAAAACAGCTTTTTCATAAACCACGTGTACAGGAACACATGTAATAAGCACCACGTTGCCATTTTAACTTGTTTAGAACCCTGTCCTATGGCGAAGTCAATAACACTTTTCAGTCAAGAACTGCTTCAAACGAAAAGTCACTAGAATCACACCAAAACCATCAGAGAACTGGGTGTTAATGTGTTACTAATGCCACCACATTTGAAGCAGGAGGGAATATGTATCTGTAATGGAAAAATTAGGATGTTAAATTCTGAAAACTGAAGGACTGATACTCTGGCCAGTGGATAGATACTTTTTTTTATCCTCAGCAGGGATTATTATCTCATTTTGCAGAAAAGGTTCTAGAATAGGGGCCCAGATTTTAACTGCCCTCCAAATATTGTACAGATTGAACACTAATCTTGCAAACATCCTGCAAATCTGTTTAAAATTGTTGCACTGGCCTTGCCAATAATCAGAAAAGATAGAAGTGTTACTTAGACTGTAGGCCTATCTTTTTGGATTACTGAGGATATTTTATAGGTAAAAGGAAATCTCTAAGAAAGTGTCAATTGTGGGTGGGTGACTTACTTCACCTAACTAAATTAATTTCTTATTGTGATAAAGTTTGCTTTATTCTCTCTCCAACATCTTTCTACTCATTGTTACCCTCCTAACCTTCAATGGAATTTCAGGTATTCCTTAATGTTTTCCATAGTGTTACAGATCTGTAAAACAGTTGTAATAAAGGCAGAAATACATTACCTAGCAATTTTTTGGTCTTAAAAATGTTACCTTAAAAATCAATAGCTTCCTAGAGTCATAAATAAAATAACTACTTAATAGTAACTATGTTTTATATCATTTTTTAAAGAAAACAAATCAATAGCAATAAAACTCAATATAAAATGTTGGTGGGTGTACTAGAGTGGCTAGTATAAATACAATTTTGCCCCAAAATATTTAGCTATATCGTATGGATTTAAATTGTGTATGTCCACTGCTTTGCACAAAAAAATCTCAGAATAAATGTATTTAAAACATGCTTTTGTGTATATAATAACCAATATTGTCCATCTGGTAAAGATACACTTTAATTCAAGTTACACAGAAAATAGCCAAAGTACTTACCAGATGTCTCAGTAACTCTAAGGTAAAAATATATGCTTGAAACAAGATGTCTGGGAACACATGAACAATATAAACTTGCCCCAAAAGTTCATCTGTTAACCATTGTATTGGCATCATTGCTTCTTTCCTCCAAGTTCAATCTAACATAAAGTTATAAACTTTGACTTTTCGTCTTCCAGAAATACCAGCTTTCTTTTTAGAAGGGAAATAAAGAGAGAGAAAAAAAGAAATAGCAAGACAGACACAAGAATGTAGTTGACTAAAAGTGAAGCTGTATCTTCAACAGTTAGCTCAATAACTTCATTTTAGTAGCTTTATTTTTATTTGCAAATATCCACACCAGACAAATGCAATATTCTAATAGCACAAGTACATTTCTTCTTAGTACAAAATCTCCCTTGTCCATTCTCTATATACTTTTATGAGATATAAAAGACACTATAACTAGAAGTTTTCAAAGAAGTTCATTACAAACACAAACCAAGGCTGCTGGAACCTAGAAATTGCCTCTCTACGTTTTGTGCTTTCTCAAGTCTCAAAATGATAGGCATGGACATAGTCTTCCTCTAAATCTCACTAGTCAGTTTGTCAGTGGACAAGAGACATTCTGGGGCCTGTTAAAATGAGGGAAACTATTAGAAGAAGAAAAGGGAGAGTGAGCCAAAGGAAGCAGTGACTTTTCTGTTGGGGTCATATCCAAATAAAGTAAGTGGAAATTTGAGACAAACTAGATGCTCTTCAAGTCAAAGCATGGGTACAAACCTGGCTTTGGATGTTAGAAATTGTGCTGGCATATAACATCTCACATTGAATTGATTCAGTATCTGGGTTCTTACAAGGATATTACTGTCCTGCCCTATTCTGTCACTGAATTCTTCTAATGTAGCATATAGCTGATGTCGCAAGGTAACTTATAGTCCTCCTGGTGTCCTAGGAACAGCATAAAATTTAAAGGATAGTGTAAAGAATTAAAGAATTCAACAATTTAATTAAAAAACATTTAGCATTTAAACCTGATTCTCATGGTTGCAGAAACACTACTGATGCCTCAGGTAAATGCCCAAGAATTAGCTAGAAAGCATCCCACTAAGGGAGCACCAGTAAGACATTTAAGGAGCTGTGAGCTTATGATGTACAACAAGAGGCTGAGGGAACTGAGTCTGTTTAGCCTGGAGACAAGAAGGCTAAGGGGGGATCTCATTCCTGTCTTCCACCATCTAAAGGTTAAGCAGAAGACAAAGTCAGATGTTCTCAGGGGTCCACAACAGAACCACAAGAGACAACAGGCAAAAGTTGCAAAAGGGGAATTTGGATTGGATATAAGGCAAAATTCTACATAGTGAAAGGAATTAAGCACTGGAGCAAGAACACAGAGAAGCTGCAGTCTCTATCCTTGAAGATTTTCAAAACTCAACTAGACACAGCATCCGAGCAACCAGGTCTAACCATAAAGTCAGCCCTGCTTTGAGCAGGAGGCTCACCAGATCCTCCCAACTTAAATCTTTCTATGATTTTATAATTATATTGAATATTGTGGGGTTTAAGCCAATTTAATCAATTTGAGTAAGAGAAAGTGACTCAAGATTTTTGAATAACTCAGGTTGGTAGGAGAGAAATCACACCGGGGTTTGTATTTTAACTAAATAGATGCTGGAATCTAAAAAGCATGATCAGATTGACTTTGACCTGTTGCAAACAAAACGAAATGGAGACAGAGGAAACATCACAGTCCGAAGAAACCAAGTTATTAGGAAACTTCTAATTATCATCCATCTATTCTTCACTGGCCCTTTGCTATTAAATAGAAGTTTAGTTTTCTTAGTTGTACTAAATAATTTTGAGATAGGTGACATATGTCGTTTGCATCTAAAGTGCCAATGCAAACAAGAAGATGACATTACCAGAACTCCTTTAGGATTCTGTTACAAGGTCACATCCTGCCACTTTATACAAATATTATTCCTCTGTAAAGGAATTGGAATGTGAATGATTAATTGCAGACTAAGGACCAGAATCATATGCAGCCTTTTGAGAAAGAAACAAAAAAAGAAAGAAAGGAAAATCAAGACATTCTGTATAATAACTGCTTTTAGACACATTTGGTGCATGTATGGGAAACTTCAAAGTTCTGAAGTAAAAGACAAAGAAACATTTGCTCGTAACACAATGGATGCTTTGATAGATTTAGAACTCTAAGGTGAGGTGCTTAATTACTAGGTTTTAATTAAAAAGATTGCATAACTTAACTGAAAAAAAATGTATTGATGTATTTTGCTGAGGGATGTTACTAAAATAATGCTCTACAAATCAACATAAAGAATAATAAGAGAAAATCAGATCAACATTTGACAGCAAATACACTTTGACAGGCTAACACCTATTTCAGCTGTAAGAGAGCTGGAGTAAAATGTTCTTTGCATGATGAAGAGTTGTACCCATTACTATATTCAATCCATAAAAAAGTGAGAGTATGGAGTAGGGTGCTGTTTGGAGTACTAGAAAACTCTGGGCAGCACTTCAAACCTACAGATATACTTGTTCAAGTCACTAAGTACTTATTAGGAGGGGCTTCTTCAATGGCTTGTGTTAATTTATTAAGCTATTGTTTTGCGAGTTGCTAGGCATTTTCAGTAAAACAAAACATCTAAACCAGAGGCTAAAGTATCACTTAAAGTATTTTATTAATTGTGATTATATAAACTGTATTTTTTTTTCAGTAACATTATGTATACAGGTCAAAAATAGCCTAGCATTTCAGAGCCTTATCCTACACTTCTCAATTAAGCAGCTTTTATTGTGCTATCAACAGGAAAGTTTCCTCCTAGTAAAAATCAGAGGATTAATGTGCCACATAAGTTTAAGATTCTAATGTCAATCAGTGGGGGAGAAATAAAATGTTTTACAGCTGTCAGTGTCCCTGTTTGTGTTTTTAAAGGAGGAAGTATGGCATTTTTACCTTCACCGCCCTTTTGGGCGTCTCAGCCAAGATAGGAGGAAATATTCCTTTGTAGAAGCCAAGCAATCTATTAAAGAAAAAAAAAGAAATTATTTTTGTATGGATAAACAACATATCATCACCATACTACCAATTCTATTTTCAATTTTGAGTAAAGCAACTAACCCTTCAGCAATTCCAAGCATACAGATGATAACAATACTCTTTGCTTACTTGCTAAGTAGCTAATGCACTACCAATTCTGTTCTGTGCTGGTGAGGTGATATCAGAAAATCAGCAATGAATAAGTAAAAATTGAATCAATTTTTTTCTGAGTAGACAAAAATTGCATTTAAAGGAAGAGGAACAGTTTTGACAATGAAGAGGGAGTATTATTTCATTGTTTTAATTTGCAAAATTAAAGTTGCAAAATACAATTTGGAAAAAAATGTGACTTCAGCAAGTTGCGTATAAAAACACTGCATGATCATCTTCAGATGCTAGGTTAAGGCACCTTTCAAAGTTTAGTTTTAAACATGCTGCAAAATAGATGAAGTAATTTTTTTGACAACTTAGTTTTAGCTATAGCTATAGCTGATGAAGTAATTTTTTTGACAACTTAGTTTTAGCACAAGTTAGCTATTCAGAGAGCCATAACAGAATGTATGCATTTCATCCTGGAGAAAACACTTTGGCAATATCTTGCTACTATTCATTCAGGTCTTTGTCCCTCTCTTCCCTGGCTCCAAAAACAACTAAGGAGTTTAGAATAGCTGCTGAGTTTTGGAGCTGGCCTGAAGCCAAAGATCCACTAGTTGCAATGCTTTGCTTTGTATCATCTAAATTTTATATATATATGTATTTATACAGCCTGCTACAAGCATTTGCAGGCAGCCTGAGCTCTGCTTACAAGGCCAATATAGATGAATAATGCTGGGTCTTGGGAATGCTTTAAATGACAGGTAGTTCTGAAAATCCCCAGGTGATGTGAAAGTAGACATAGTTCTTGTCTGCTGGGTCTCCGCATTAACCTAGAGAGTGCATGGGGAATGTTCGGAAAGGCATCTAATGCATCAGCAAGAAGCTACCTTGCCAGCCAGTAAGGGTATATTTTACAACTTCAGAATTTAAACACTTCTTTCAGGACTGTAAGAGGATTCTATCTACAGAAGAAATCACTTCTTAAAGCAAAGCACTTTTGTCTTTTAAAAATGTTGTAAGATGGTGATGTTGAAAGGTGGTGATTCACCTTTCTAAAACAGCCTATTACTTGGAATATTTTTGCAGGGTGTGGAAGTCGTCACATCAACAGATTCTCCTCTACTTATCCTGTGCATGTCAAAGGAAAACAATTAAATTCATACTCCCCACGTGAATGTAAAATACCACAAATGCGATACCATTTTTTCCATCCTTCTTCTAATGCTTCTCTGGAGTTCTCTTCTCAAGCTGCTCCAACAGAAATAAAATAATTTAGGCTTTGTAAGATGCTCCAGAGTGGGAATATCACTTATCCTTCCTCTGAAGTAAGCAAGTTATGAATTCCAGTCCATGATAAAAGGAAACTGAGCATTTTACACAATTATGGTTTCATGACAAAACACCAAAAGTCCTTGGGTAGGAGATTTCAGGAATTCAGCTGAGTCGCCAGATGCTTGAATTTCCCCAAAGTCTCACTTTCCAAATGTAAATATACATATATACACATACATATATCTGTATCTGGCCAGATAGATAGGATGTAACTATAGATATCTATAGATACAGACATAACAATATAGATTTACTGGATCCAGCCTTAGTCTTTAATGGCTCATACTGATTCAAAGTATATTCTTGCTGATTCAGCAAGCTATTGAAATGTTGAATAACTTTAAGCGTGTGATTCGTACAGTTTAATGTGAGTTCAAACTGAAACTGAGGTCCAAGTAGGATAAACTACAAGAACACAGATCCCTATAAACACTTTCTTCCTTTCAGCTCAATCTAAAACACTGTAAGCATATCTACAACAGGCATCCCGTTTGGAATTTCTAGTATTCCAGCATGATTGGAACTGGAAAATGAAAAGTGCTCCTTTGCTCTACTCACAGGTGTAGCCCTGACTACAAAAAAGTGAGACCCAAACTTGGTCCAGATTTTCTCATTAGATGGATTAGCAGAGAAATATGCAGTGTAAAGCAACAATTCAGTTCTAAAACCACACAGCAGCATTGCCTAGCATTCCACAGCAGTACAGGCTGCTTTCCCAGGTTGCCTTCTTTTATACTCAAATGTATGCAGCTATTGAATGTATAAACCTTGTAACACTCCCAAACTCTCTGAGGACCTCAGGGAGAACTTTTCAGAGAGAATGTGGAGGTGAAGGATATACCAGGAATTTGAGCAACAGATCTGCCATCTCAGCAATCTTGCAAGGCAGGTAATCACTTCTAAAGAGTAAGCCACCATTTTGTCACAACTTAGTGTTTAAATACCAGTGATTCAGATGATCAGCAGACCAGGTGGTGGATTGTTTGAAAATTCTAGAGAATGGGAACCGAAAATATGAAAAGCAATTATCCATTGCTCCTGAATCACAGAAGGGCTGAAGATGGAAGGGACCTCTAGAGATCATCTGGTCCAACCCCCTGCCCAAGCAGGGCCACCTAGAGCTGGTTGCCCAGGACCACATCCAGATGGGTTTTGAATATTTCCAAGGAGGGAGACTCCACAGCCTCTCTGGACAATCTATGCCAGTGCTCGGTCACCCTCACAGTAAAAAAGTGTTTCCTGATTTTTAGAAGGACTCCCTTGTGTTTCAGTTTGTGCCCATTGCCTCTGGTCCTGTCACTGGGCATCACTGAAAAGAGCCTGACTCCATTCTCTTTGCACCCTTCCTTTAGGTATTTGTGCACATTAATGAACTTTCCTCCAGTCCCCAGGCACCTCTCCCAGTTGCCACAATCATTTAAAGATAATTGAGAGTGACCTTGCGACGATATCAGCTAGCTCCCTCAGCAATTGTGGGTGCATCCCATCAGGGCTCATGGACTTAGGCACATCAGGTTTGCTTTAGTATTCTCTAACCCAATCCTCTTCCACCAGGGGAAAGTCTTCCTTATGACAGACCTTCCCCTTCTGTCCAGAGCTTTGGATTTCTGAAGGCTGGTCTTGCTACTAAAAACTGAATCGAAGAAGGCATTCAGTATTTCAGCCTTTCCTATGTCCTGTGTCACCAGGGCCTTTGCCTGATTCAGAAGCAGTCTCACATTTTCCCTAGTCTTCTTTTCACCACTTAGATACTTAGAGAAGCCCTTCTTGTTGCCCTTGACATCCCTCACCAAGTTCAATTCCAGGTGGTCTTTGGCTTTCCTTAACCATGTCTCTGCAAGCTCAGACTGTCTCTATACTCCTCCCACATTACCTGTCCCTGCTTCCACCTTCTGTATACTCCCTTTTTATGTTTGAGGTTTGTCAGGAGCTCCTTGCTAAACCACACAGGCCTCTTGGCATTTTTGCCTGACTTCCTGTGTGTTGGGATGGAAGGTGATCCTTGAATACTATCCAGTTTTCCTGGACCCCCTTCCTGCCAGAGCCTTATACCATGGGACTTTTCTAAGCAGATCCCTGAAGAGGCCACAGTCTGTTCTCTTGAAGTCCAGAGTTGTGATCTTGCTTTTTGTCCTGCTCCCTCCTCTCAGGATCCTGAACTCCACCATCTCATGGTCACAACAACCGAGGCTCCCTTTGACCTTCACATCCCCAGTGAGGCCTTCCTCCTTTGTGAGTATGAGATCCAGCAGAGCACCTCTCCTCATTGGCTCCTCTTTAACTTCTGCCAAGAAACTATCATTAATGCTCTCCAGTAACCTCCTGGATTGCTCATGCCCTGCTATGTTGTCCCTCCAGGAGGTATCAAGGTGGTTCAAGTTCCCAGAAGGATCAGGATCTGCAAATGCAAGGCTGCTTCTAGCTGTCTGTAGAGGGCCTCATCTGCTTGTTCTTCCTAGTCAGGCAGCCCATAGTAGACACCCATTACAAAGTCATCAGTATTGGTCTGCTCCTTAATCCGTACCCATAAACTCTCATAATTCACCCTCAGGCAGAGCTCCATGCGTGCCAGCTGCTCTCTGTCATGAAGGGCAGCTCCCACTCCTTGCCTTCCTGGCCTGTACTTCCTAGCCTGTATCCCTTCACTGAAGCACTCCAGTCATGAGAGCCATTCACTGCATCTCTGGGATCCCAACAAGATCCTACACCTGCAACTGCACACAGATCTCTAATTCCTTGTGTTTATGCCCGATGCTGCGTGCTTCAGTGTGCAGGCGCTTCGGAGAGACTTCCTTGCTTACATGCAAATGCCTGACGTGACCCCACTTGAGCCCTGTTTTGTTCATTTTGTGTTCCTTGTTGTTCACATCAACCCAGGTGCTTTGCTTGCCAGCCCTGTCCATTGCTCCCTCAGAGCTTTGGTAACTCCCTCCCTCCCTCATGGTTCCCGGTTTAAAGCCCTCTCTACCAGGTCAGCCACCCTGTGGCAAAGATACCTGTGCAAAGATATCACTGTGCATGCCATGTCAAGCTGATCTGCTTATCGCAGCTGTAAGGTTAACACTGAAGATTTTCTGCTGGAGGAATCTCTGTTGTGAACCTGCAGACCTCAACAACTATATTCATGGCTCTACAAATCCCTAAAATTTTAAGGGTTTCACTGCTTTACTCCTCCTTTCCTCTGTGGAGGCAAATCTCATAATGAAAAACAGTCAGGAAGGAGTTAAGGTCCATTCCTATGGAACACATTAAGTTTAGCAATCTAGAAACACATGAAAACTTTGAGGATATACATCCATATATGCAATATGTAATTCAGTAAACATGGTAAGAACTAGCTCAGTATTTAATTATGAACTGTGGTTTAGGGTTTTTTTTTCTTCCTCGTTTGAAATAGAAACAGAAAAAGGTTAGTAAGCACAGCCAGGGAGATGAAAGGAGTAAAGGAAAGGAGGAAGCAGAAGGCAATCCTGTCTCATCACTGCCTATTGACACTTGACTAATTTTTTGCATAAAGCATAGTCTCTTTTAGAACCTTCTGTGCCTGAGGTGGCG